GAGGTCGTTGGTCAGAAGGCCTTGGACCATTCTGTCTCTGTAGCACTTGGAGAGAGATGGATAGAGGTAGTGAGTGCTAGAAAGAGAGAGCCCTCACCCCTGATCTCCCACTGGCCCATGGCCTCCTGCCTAGTATCATGGAATGTAAAGGGAAACAATAATATCATGACTTAGTGCTCAATGTTCCTGCTGGTGGCAAGCCTGGATGCAGAGAAATGTCCTGCCTTGTAGTATGGTTTCATCCATCTCCACCAGGCTCCAAGAAATCAGATGACAAACCTGCAGAGATTAACAAAAGAAAATGGTACCTTTATTTACGATTCATTTATCACTTTGCCCAGGGTCGCAACTTTCACTGGGGACGGGGGGGACATGTCCTCCCCCCACATTCTGAAATTGCATTTTTGTCCCCCACAGTTTTATCATTGGAATGTGATACAAATCGAGGCAACAGTGTGCTGGAGGACCATGCGGATGTCCTCCCACTTCTAAAACCAAAGTTGCGCCCCTGACACATTCATAAATGACAACAATATATCTGATTAAAAGTATGCATGCCATTTTGTGATAACGGCTATGACAAATTACATGGCACACATGTGAATTTATAGCTAGCTAAGATATGATTTATATTTTATGGCACAATGTCTCATCTCACTAACAATTACTAAGGCTAACAGCAAATTCCACTATTGTGGCTAGCTTCACATAGGTGACTTATTCCATCATGACAACCTACTCCTCATTTGACTGTAGTTAGCTAGCTGCTAGCTTATTCATGAAGTATCCACTCTATTGCTTAATAAGTGATCTAGTTAATATGAGCTAGCCAACATGCTTTGCTTCTGACATGACACGAACCTGCTTGCTTTACATCTGACAGATATTTTAGCTACCATAGCTAGATAATAATGGTTTATGATAACTGCCGTTAGTTCATTATCTAGCTAGCTAGCTTAGTGTAAAACTGAGAGTCTGGCGGTAAAACACAGCTAGCTAGCCAACTCGACTTTATCAGTTTTAGCCAAGCTAGCTTGATACTCAGTAACATTAGCTTACCATGCTTTTCTGGCCAACTGGACATTTCCTCTCGCCCATCCCGGTCGATTCCGTTTCGCCTACTCCCGTCTCTTGGTCTACTTCTAGGTTCAAAACTATATGGCTGTAGTCCGTTGCCTTACTGTCCAAAGCAACCCACTCGTAACACATCCACCTGGTGCAGGCAGGCAGTCAATGGCTCAGTGTTCCAAAACTGTTTACCTGTTTCTACGCCAAGCAAGGACAATGTTCCAGTTGTTCTTTTTTGTGTGTTTTTATGATGCGCGTGCAGCACAGAAGCATATAATATATTTTATTTCCAATTTCCCCCCAAAAAGTGACATATCATATTGATACATAGCTATATGTGCTACACATTATTGTAATGTGAAGCATGGCCTTTAAACTGTCATAATGAACGCAGCCCAGGCAAATACAATAGATCAACGTGCCGTGGTATTGATCAACCAATGGTGTGTTAGATACCACCCATATACATTTGCTTGACACCCCCTCATTGTCATACTGGAGGAAGAAATACAGAAATAAATGAATAAATAATATAAATGAATAAAAGGAAAGAAAGAAAGTGGGACTTATTTATCTATTTGTGTTCAATTATTAATCCATGTATTTGTTTTATCTATTTATGTGTGTATTTATTTATTTATTCATTTAATTCTAATTAAGGCAGCTTTGGTCCTCTATAGTAAAGGGGCCTTTGCTCCCTTTAAAAAGGCATGTGTAGATTTACCTTTCGTATTTCGTGATTTTCGTCATTCTTTGGTGGTTTCCCACTGGGCACAGAAGTCAATTCAACATCTAGTTTTGATTTACATTTGGTTGAGTTGTCTAACTAACGTGAATTCAATGTGAAATCAACCCAACATGTCACCCTGTCTTTGGATTTAGGTTAAAAGTTGGGTGAAAAAAAATATGAAATTCCATTACATTGATGGCTTTTTGCTAATCACGTCATCACATTGATTTTTTTTTTTTTCAAATTATGTAGACACAACGTTGATTCAACCAGTTTTTGTCTTCATGCGTCCTTGTTGATTGTAGACCTAAGTAAGTCCTTCGATGTAGGCCTATGCCTTTTATTTCAATGCATGTGTATGATTTATCTGGCATAGTTTGCATTCGCAGTCAGCTGTTTTATGCACTGGTTACTTTCACATTGATGTCGGCATTTGAAGTCGGCCTTGTGACTTGGTAGCGTTTATTATGCATCTATTTCATGTTGCACTGTATGCGCCTTTCCACAAGTAAATTGGTCAATTTATGATGAGGTTGAGCAGTGGCTGGAGGATAATGGCTGGGCTAATTTTTTTGTTATTGTTGCTGTTCTCCAAGTATCATTTTTCAGTTTTGCCATCCCTACATTTAGCTGAAATGACGCCACTGGTTAAACCTGTCTGTCAGAATGAATGTGTGGGTTTGAGTGACAGACAATGGCATACATGATGGAAGGTATTCAGTAGAGTATAGGAATGTTTTATTTTGTATTTCTCAATAGATTTGGCAGTTTTCCCTATAGCCTAGAGCCCTACAAGGTCCATAGTCCAGCAATGCTCCTCAGTAGGCGCTGGCAGCCAATGCTTTAGCACTGCCTCTAAGGCTGTAAGGTGTGTCTCAAGAGAAATTCATATTATTTCCTATTTCCACACCTATTCGCTTTAAAGTGCACTCGAAATAATGTCATTGAATAAAATAGAGACAGTCATTAGATAGGGACTGCGATTCAACCAAAAATTGTATTTTGACATTCCAGAACAATGTCAAAAGACAATTCTTGGTTGAATCGCAGCTGGGGATAGCACTGACTAACAAACTGTCACAACGACAATAAAATAAAACTGTATAGGCTATTCCAGGTTTACTGGCAGGTGCATTCTACACTAGGCTATGACACCTCGCACGTCGCTCACATGCACACGTGAGCACATTCATGTTTAGGAGCCATAAACGATTTGGCGCTCTTCTTTTATCGACCGTTCGTTTCCTACCTGCATTGCCGCAGTCCGCACATACATCGTTTCCAGGTTTGGCCAGGACATCTTGCAAGAGCCGTTTATTCCTCTCCGACTCCGAGGCCATCACGGTTTGATCTCCACCCAATCCGAAAGACTTCCAATACAAAGCACGTTCACTGGGATAAAGCAAAAATACAATTGTGACCTTGTAGGCTACTCGAAATGCGGAAAAAATGCTCCTGGTTTTGACCAAAAAAAGCTAATGAATAGCCTATTATATAAATCCGCTTGGATGAGATTATTTGAAGGTTTGACAAGTCTCTCTCTCGTAGACTACAGCTCTATTACGAAGTCTTGCTGACTGCATTTTCTCAAGTCTGTCATCCCCTCCTTCTCCCCCAACTCATTCTTCTGCAGTGGCAGTGAGACCTCCAGTGGTATGATGATCATTACTTGTTTTTTACTACCTGTGTAGCCTAATTTTTTCTTACTTTCTAACACTGACAGCCAACATATTTTGAAAGTTTTTATAAGGACTATTTTATTTTGTACACTGTAGAGAAAATAAACTATGCACTGTCCATACATTTCACTGGCAAAGATTATGTATTTTTAGTTGCCTTTACTTTCGCCTACTGCTGTCCCTTTAAAAGTTAGTAGATTGTCGAAAACATAGATTTAGGATTTTTTTACCTTTATTTAACTAGGCAAGTCAGTTAAGAACAAATTCTTATTTACAATGACGGCCTACACCGGCCAAACCCGAACGACGCTGGGCCAATTGTGCGCCGCCCTATGGGACTCCCAATCAAGGCCGGTTGTGATACAGATTGGAATCGAACCAGGGAGTCTGTAGTGACGCCTCAAGCGCTGAGATGCAGTGCCTTAGACCGCTGCGCCACTAGGGAGAATACTAGAAGGTAATTAACCTTCTTATTATGGGATAAAGGTCAGCCATTTTGGTCAGGGAGTTGGTCATCCATGGTTTGCCAGTGCTGTGGTAAGACATTGTGTAAAATAATAATTTTGAAGAATATATCTGCTCATTTGTTTGCTAGCTTGTCAGACAGTTTTAGAGGAATGATTCCATTAATATTTCAAATTAACTGGCAATATGCCAACATTCCATTCAAACAATGTAGTCAATCCACAGCCATACACTGGCTGAAATCAGTTGATGATAGGACTTAGATATGTTGTACATGTGACAAGTACTGATATTGTATCATATAATAATAGCACTCACAGCTTTCCAATAAATAAACAATAGACACATTTACGGTCTGTTTACATATATTTTAGAGGCTATTTATACAGAATATTGGTATAAAACCTGTATAAACTGTATTTATAATTATCTGACATAATTTAAGGTTGTCTCACATGCCTTACTTTATTTTCCTGCATAAATCAAATCAGGATTAGCCTTTACTGCCATTCATTCCAATTAGACTGGTTTGGGGTGCGTTCGTAAATTCACTCTGGCCATCTACTCCGATTTCAGAGCACTCTCGTCAGTGTGCCAGAGTGCAGAATAAATGATGAATTTACAAATGCTCAACACCCGTTGAATATGGTCAGTGTCGGTAAACGTGTGCAAAAAAGTGCGCTCTGAACGCTCCGAGAGCAAAACGCTCTGAATTTACAAACAGACAATCTGACAATGCTCTGAATTTACGAACGCCCAGCGCGCACTCTGGCACTCAAGATTGAATTGACAAACACACCCTTGGATATCTCCCTGACCAATATGGCTGACATTTTCACCCAATTCTGGAACTTTGAGGGTGTATGACGAGCCCCTCTAGTAATTGAATAGGATCTATATGGGCGAAAACGTCATCGATGTTATCTATGGGTTGATTATTCACGTCTAGCGCCGAACGTTTGCCTACGTCACAATTATGCGGCGACTGTGAGCTTGCATGAAATAATCGCGAAGGTCTTATATTTTTATTTTAGATACGTCTCTCACAAAAAGCAATCATGTCGACAGCTATGAACTTTAGCAGTAAGTCTTTTCGGCCCCGTGCTCCAGACAAAGGATCCTTCCCTCTGGATCATTTTGGTAAGTAAAATAAACCACTCCTGGTTGAGTAACTGACTCGTTAGTTCCAGCAATAGCTGTGATGTGCGTAGCTCCACAGTAGCTTCTGTAGTTTCCAGCTGAATAGGAAAGAGATGTTTGACCTCAGATGTATGAGAACTGTGAAATGACAGGCATACTGGAATGAATGACAGTTGAACTGCTTTTACTTTCCCTGTAGTTGTCTAGTGTTTGAAATTCAATGCACCATTGCATCTCTTTGCTGTTTGTCATTGCAGGAGAGTGTAAAGCATTCAAAGAGAAATTCATGAAGTGCTTGAAAGGCAACAGCTATGATAACTCCATGTGTCGACTACAGTCCAAAGACTACCTTGAATGCCGGATGGATAAGTGAGTATTGACTACTGTTCGTTTAGCTACTACTTATTTCCTGTTGAGAATGAGATGACTAGGTATACACACATCATTGACTAGACATGACTGTTCTGATCACCAATGTGAAACTATTCTGTTATTTAAGTCAGCTGATGGCCAAGGAACCTCTGGAGAAGCTAGGGTTCAAAGACCTGATGGACAAACCCAGCCAGGAGAACAAGGAGGCTAAACCCTGAACTTCCCTTCCTACACAGATGGATGCTGTCATGCTTGAGTGATAGTTTCCCTCTTCCTCATCTTGTATATACAATTACAATGTAATATATTGGGGGCAGTGTTTCAAGCTTTGTATATACATATTTTTGGTAAATGAACCATGCTTTGTTTTGTGTTGGAATTTTGAAAATAAATGATTTGAGGTGGCTTACCGTTCTCACAGAAAGTGGTATGTTTCAAAAAGATCTCCCCTCAGTCTAGCTAGCCTGCATGTATGCATTATGAATAAGGAAACATTTTACTACATGCTTTGCTACACTTCATCAAAGTGCCTTACTAACCACTCAATGTACTATGGAATGTTGTATGGTGTGATTAAGTGGTGAAAACCAGTCCTAAATTATTCCAAGACTCATGAATTTTATTGTCAAGACAAATAAAAATCAGGCAGCACATGTCAAGCTGGCCTCAACAAGAAATATAGTTAATAGTTACATATGAAAACAAAACACTTAATCTATGTACAAAACTATATAAAAGTTCCACAAAAACGAGAATTCTGTAAACACAATGTGTCAACCACAGTTCAGCTCTTTAGGACAAATCACTGGCTTACGAGAGGGCGGGGGGGGGGGTGGGGTTCATTTCACTCCTCTTGCCTCAGATTGATCCTAGCATCTAACATTATGCTTATAGACCAATAAAAATACACTGGTGAGAGAAAGTCTGTCTCGATACTCATGTTTTTACCTGTAATATCCTGTGAGATCAGTGATCGTAGAGGGAAGGACACAAGGATAGGAAACTGGGTAGGACTTTTGATACAGCCAGACTTTTCCAGTGGAGAAAGGGAAAATGAGGGAGGAGAGCAGCTGTGAGGTCAGGGGTTCCAGGCAGCTCTACCTGGAGGAGTCCGAGCTGGATCGTGAGCGGTGGCGTCTGCGACCGGGGGAGAGCGAGCGAGTTCTGCGGCGAACCGGAGAGCGTCTCCGTGGTGACCGCGATCTTAGAGACAAAGAGAGGGGGATGAAAACAAAGCTCAGGAGACTCAGTTACCAGGGGAATGACAAATGGTCTAACCACACCTGAAGGGATGCATGGTCAACTGCCATTAATTCTGTAATCAGGGATGCACAAAAGAGAAAACATTTCAAAAATATATTCATCCAATCTAATTATAGGATACAGATGTTAGACATAAGATTCTGGATTTTCTTACCATAGTAAATCGGGGAAAAAATACATATGTAAATACAGAAATGTACTGTGAAACATGTCATTATTGTGACTGACAGAACTCCACACACACATATTGACATGAACACTGTAGGAGACTGACCTTCTCATGCGGGGTGGGGTGCGTCGCCACATAGGGGGTGGTGGGGGCATCCTGCGAGGGGGGGGAGAGCCTGCGAGGGGGCGGGCGTATTACCCTGGGAGCCAGCATGGCAGTTGCTGTGATCTCCTGTCCATCAATCTGACCTGCAGACACCACAGACAAAAAATAAAGGTATGGAGGACACCAGATTGTTTTTGATTATGTTCTAATTGTATGATTCAAGTAAAAACTCTGAGGATAGGTTATGGACAGAGAGTCTAACAGAGTAGTATTAAAATGCATTCAAACTAGAGATGCTAACTGCATGTACACCCAGAACCATTGGTCTTCACCAACCTCCATCCATGTGTTTGAGAGCCTTCTCGGCCTCATCGGCCGTCTCAAACTCCACGTAGGCATAGCCTTTCGACAGGTGTGGGAGGAGCCTGTCCACAGGTATGTCAATCATCTTGATCTTGCCATATGTGCCGAAGATCTCCTGGATGTGTTCCTGAAAAGAGCAGAGACTTTAGTCAAAACCCAACCTCATAGAGATATTGCTCCCTACTCCCACAAACCTCCAATGTCTTCAACATACAGTCTGCAGCTTGACACAAAAAATGCATTCAAATAGGCTATATTGAATCCCATTGATGTGCGCAAACACTTTATGCACATACACTTGGAGACCGAGCAGTCATTTTTACTCACCTTGATGACGTTTCTGGTGAGGCGGCCCAGGTACACCTTGGTGGGTCGGGGGCTGGGGCTCCTCCTACGCCTCTCCTTGTCATCCTTTTTCACTGATGACTTGGATCTACAGGACAAATGGAAGAGGTCTTACTCTTTATTCCTCCACTCAAAAAAAAGTCACACTTCCAAGCACAACGATTCCTCTCCTTCAGTCTTTGGATTCGTTTTTCGGAGTGATCACCAACCCTGGTCCTGCAGAGTTACGGAGCATGCATGCTTTTTTGTCAGCCCAGCACTAACATACCGAATTCAACTAATGAAGGTCTTGAATGTTAAACCATTAGGTGAATTGAAAGTATTTAGCCTGCACGCACTTTAACTAAGGGCTGGGATTAGAGAGTGGAGACCACTGCTTTACGGGTCACACATACTTGGACCGTGAGCGTTGGCGGTCGTTGTGGCGGCGGCGACTGGGGTTGGGTGACCCTGAGGAGCTGGATGAGCTCAAGGAACGGGAGCTGGAAGACCCGGAGCGGCTGGTGGCAGAGGAGGAACTGGAGCCGCTGGAAGAACTGGAGCCAGAGCTGCTACTGGAGCCGGACCTGAGTGAAGACAGGGAGAGGGGCTTACTTTAGACCTGAGTGAAGACAGGGAGAGGGGCTTACTTTAGACCTGAGTGAAGACAGGGAGAGGGGCTTACTTTAGACCTGAGTGAAGACAGGGAGAGGGGCTTACTTTAGACCTGAGTGAAGACAGGGAGAGGGGCTTACTTTAGACCTGAGTGAAGACAGGGAGAGGGGCTTACTTTAGACCTGAGTGAAGACAGGGAGAGGGGCTTAGTTTAGACCTGAGTGAAGACAGGGAGAGGGGCTTACTTTAGACCTGAGTGAAGACAGGGAGAGGGGCTTAGTTTAGACCTGAGTGAAGACAGGGAGAGGGGCTTACTTTAGACCTGAGTGAAGACAGGGAGAGGGGCTTAGTTTAGACCTGAGTGAAGACAGGGAGAGGGGCTTACTTTAGACCTGAGTGAAGACAGGGAGAGGGGCTTACTTTAGACCTGAGTGAAGACAGGGAGAGGGGCTTACTTTAGACCTGAGTGAAGACAGGGAGAGGGGCTTACTTTAGACCTGAGTGAAGACAGGGAGAGGGGCTTAGTTTAGACCTGAGTGAAGACAGGGAGAGGGGCTTACTTTAGACCTGAGTGAAGACAGGGAGAGGGGCTTAGTTTAGACCTGAGTGAAGACAAGGAGAGGGGCTTAGTTTAGACCTGAGTGAAGACAGGGAGAGGGGCTTACTTTAGACCTGAGTGAAGACAGGGAGAGGGGCTTACTTTAGACCTGAGTGAAGACAGGGAGAGGGGCTTACTTTAGACCTGAGTGAAGACAGGGAGAGGGGCTTACTTTAGACCTGAGTGAAGACAGGGAGAGGGGCTTACTGTGGGGACAGATCAGAAAGCAGTGACTGCTGAGATAAGCTGTCTGATTCAGCAGAGATGTGTTGTGGCTGAGAGATGGGAAAGGAGTGGTCACTCAAATTGTGTCTAACCTGCTGCTCCCAGTGGAGCCACGTCCTTTGCATCCCTTCTCCTTCTCCCTGCCCCTGCCAGCTCTTTTCTTGGTGGCACCCGTTTTCTCCTTTACTCGCTCTTTGGCCTTGTCTTCCATATGCTCCTTTCTCCTGACTGTAGATTGTTAGTAGAATAATGACTTATCACTAACACTAACCAAGTTTCCATCCAACCTTTTTATGTGAGTGAAGTACATAAAACACGTCAAGACAGGCCTGATGGAAACAGAAGATTTTTCGGTAAACTTTCCAAATGTCGACAAACCAAAATACACTAGACTAGGTGGGCTCTTTTTGTGTTGGTAAAATGAATTATGTGAGAAATGTCAGTGGAAATGCTTTTATGCGCAAATATTGATATAATAACCATCGAAGTAAACTTGAAGTCACGTGATGATGTTGTGTTGTCCTCCTATTACGTCTCGTCAGGGAAAGCGTGCAGTTTACTAGGCTTCAGATTAAATAAATGCTGATGAACTTCACAGTGTGGTGAAAATGCAAGGTGATGAGCTTGATGCTCCTTTCCAATAAATATCGAGGGTCTTATTCTGGTGACATGATCATCGATGCTTGGCTGCCGTTTGACAAATACATATTATCTCGCTTTTAACTGGTTGATAAGGTGAAACAGGTGAGTTACAACTGGGGTTGGAGCGAAAACCTACAGGAGGTTAGCTCTCCAGGAACCGGGTTGGAGACCCCTGGCCTACATGATGAGATTATTTGTATTTGTTAACGGCAGCCAAGCATCGATGATCATGTCACCAGAACAAGATCCTCAATATTTATTGGTTAAGGAGCATCAAGAACAACTAGAGAAAGTTGGTTATGTAAATTTTACCCCAGAATATTCGTTATTCCAGAGGTGATTCAGACAGGATTCGTTTTTTTCCAAACTACACCCTATAACAATATTTTTGTCCTCAATAAATTGACCTTATGACAGAAGACTGGACGTTTTTATTCTAGGCCTGAAGATATTTCAAGATATGTCCAGGTGATAACAGGCTACACTGATAACTCGAGGTTGGCTCCCAAGTTTTTAAACCAACTTTGGTATAGTGTTGCAATAATATTTGAATTGAGGAAGTGTGATCATAATCATTATTTATGCGATCCGCAGTAGAATAAATCCCAAATGCCCAAGCCTGCAGATGTGACCTAAACAGCACACTTGCCTCTAAAATGACCGACATGGAAAATTCGGACGGGATTTAAATTACAGATGTGGTTATTTGTGCTCGTGCACATAATAACATAATTCCTATCTCCCCGCAGAAAAACGAATCCCGTGCGAATAGGGCTATAGTGGGAGGACCACACAACATGTCATCGTCGCGTGACAAGTTTACTTCGATATGTGGTCCTCTGTAACTCAGCTGGTAGAGCACGGCGCTTGTAACGCCAAGGTAGTGGGTTCGATCCCCGGGACCACCCATACACAAAAAAAAATGTATGCACGCATGACTGTAAGTCGTTTGGATAAAAGCGTCTGCTAAATGGCATATTATTATATGATGGTTATAATATCAGTATTTGCGCATAAAAGCGTTTCCACCGACATTTCTCGCATAATTAATTTTACCAACACAAAAAGATCCTATCCTGTCTAGCGTATTTTATTTAGTCGACATTTGGAAAGTTGACCGGCCTATCATTACATTTTTTATTCGACATGTACTTTACTCGCATAAAAAGGTTGGCTGGAAACCTGGTGTGATGAAATATGTTGCAGATATGGTGAAACGTTAGAGAGCTTGCTAGTGAAACGAAGGCATCTCTATTATCCAAATCTATCCTGTTGGCGCGATAACTAAAGGTCGGTCAACCCATAATGCAGGGACACATGACGGGGAAAAACTGCAGACTGAATCGTGTCAACATACTGCACTAGCTAGCTATCTAGCTAATGTACACTAATTTGATGCGTTTATATCGCAAGACGTGTTTTTCATTGCTGACCTGCCCATACAGCTAGCTTTAGCTAGCTACATTCTATTTAGCTAATTCAACGATACATCTGTGAAATATACACTCGATTCAAACTGAGTTTCCTATAACATACAGTATACATATATAATCGTTAATTAAATGATTAAAGTAGCAACTTCACATCGTTCGTTGTGGTTGCAGAAACAAGTCGCAGAGAGATGACGTTGCAAAGTTGAGGGCATGTGGTATTTCACAAGACGCACAGCTCCCTCTGGTGTCGCTTATTGGAATAGGACATTATTTGGGGAGGTATGGAAATGTCCGTCACATAATTTTATATATTTTTTAACAAAATGTGGGATTAATAGAGATTACAAATGTGTATACTTACAATTGTAGCAACATTCTTTATTCTTTATAAATGTGCGATGTCCTCTTAAAAACAATGGTTTCTTCTATTTCAATTTGATAAAGCTATAAGTAAATGTGTAATGCATAAACTGTAGCTAATACGATGTCTTTCATTTCTGTATACAAGTATGTTTTTTATGGGGCGGAGGGGGTTCTATCCCCGCAGAGAGAAAGTTTTGACACTTCACATTGGAAGAACCAATGAATTAACAGTTGCTGTTTTCTTACCGGGTAAAATTTGTTGTAACCCAACACGGAAGTGTCGGCTCGCATTCGCAGAAAGCGTTGTTTTGCTTCATCTTCAGTTAAATTTCAGCCAAGAAGACACCTGTTTTACACTCAAACTTCAAAATGTCTTCAGACTTTGAAGCCTACGAACAGGATTTTGGAACCTTGACAGCAGAAATAACAAACAAAATTGGAAGGATTCCCAAATTAGGTGGAGGTAAGCCACTAAACTCTATTTACTGGCTTGACTATAGTAGCTAGCTAGCTTTCAAGCTATCGTCACATACATAAGGGTTTAGTTATAAATATCTTTGCTATCATGTCAACAAATTAATAATGCAGTTAGCTAGCTTGTTTCAAATGACACGTATTTTACGCAAATTATATTCATCATATTCACTTTGTGTTTTGTGTTAGTGAAATAAGGACGTTACCTATCCAGCTAGCTTGCCAACTATCCTAGTAACTGCCAATCCTAGGAGCAGGACAACCAATGGCCATTGCACCAGGATTCAATCTCCCTTCACCAACATATCTAAACTGTAACATTAAACTACCTTGTACTTATCAGCACAGCATCTGAATGGTCAGGACCTCTGTATGACTCTTTGATAGCTAGCTAGCTAATTAATTAATTGTTTGTTTGTGAAGATGTAGCTTGGCATAGTGGGAATGAATTGTTGAGTGAAGCCACTTATGTGCAGTAGACCTAATCCATCATTTTCTTTTTTCAGTGTTCCACTTCTAAAGTGAGTAATAGGGTATACAGTAGGCCTAAATCTAAGAATCTAGATGAAATTGCCCCTCCCTACACATTGAATTGTGGAATCATATGTAGAATAATGCAATTGGAATCTTAATGTAGCGTAAAAGACACAAACACCCTAATATAAACACTTTCTTGGTCTTATGCAACGTTTCTTCCCACCCAGACCAGAGAGTGATGATTAGAGTTTGGAGTGATGTCTGGGAATTTATAAGCTGCTAAAGAATTCCTCCTCGGTGCAAATTATTTTGGTAGCTACAGTATGTGTGAGAAAGTAGGGAGTCTAGCCTAGTCTAAACACACAGACAAACAAAAAGTGTTGAGAAAATTCAGTGAAGCAAGCAATTGACGTCTGAATTGTAATATGCTCTACTATTAGGTTCATATGCTAGTTCCAAATGCTACACAATGGACTGAATGTTTACTATAAGAGTGATAATTTATTGTCCCATAGCTACCATAAGAAGCAGTTTGTTTCTTCAGAAATGTGTAGCCTAATCTCTTTTGTGCTTTGCCATTCAACAGTCGAACATCAGTTTGATTATGCGGCTACGGCACACCAAAATTAAGCTGCAATGACTGTCCAATTATTTTCGCCCTACCAAGCACTTTACCCAATGGGCTTTGCTGAAATGAGAGGAGAGGATCTTGGGAAATGATTAGCATAAAATCTGTTACAGAGGCAGATTAGTCTACTTGTGGAAAATGTAATGTAAAATGTGATTATTTTAATAATAATTGTATTCAAATAATGAAGATGGTCTCTGGGATGGTCCTAGTGCAAAAGCCTCTTCACTAATGTTTACAGAAACCTTGCACAAAGGTTGGATTCAAATTCAGATAGCTTCCAAGGTACAGGTAGATTTAAAATACAAAAATAAGACCCAGTTCCAAATCAACCCCTTGGCCTTTCCTCCACTCATCATTCACCCTCCCCTATATTGTTCATGTTCCTGCAAGCCACTGTCTTTGGTAGTGCTGTCCTGGACTCCGAAATCCAATTCAAGTTTGGGTAAGTGGCTACCAGTGTAGGCTCAAAACCGAGGGCTTGCAAATCATCTGGCGTAGTGAAAAAGTAAGCAACATGCCGGAGCAAGGAACTTAAAAATATTTGTTTAAGCATAGGACATAATGTAGTAATGTACAGCTATGCCTATAGATATAAAGTCGCATACCATAGTTGTAAAGTCTTGAATCTCACATGAAATGTGTGATTGTGCAATTTAATGAATTTAGGCTAGCCTCTATAAAGCTACAGTGGGGAAAAAAAGTATTTAGTCAGCCACCAATTGTGCAAGTTCTCCCACTTAAAAAGATGAGAGAGGCCTGTAATTTTCATCATAGGTACACGTCAACTATGACAGACAAAATGAGAGAAATTAATCCAGAAAATCACATTGTAGGATTTTTTATGAATTTATTTGCAAATTATGGTGGAAAATATGTATTTGGTCAATAACAAAAGTTTCTCAATACTTTGTTATATACCCTTTGTTGGCAATGACACAGGTCAAACATTTTCTGTAAGTCTTCACAAGGTTTTCACACACTGTTGCTGGTATTTTGGCCCATTCCTCCATGCAGATCTCCTCTAGAGCAGTGATGTTTTGGGGCTGTCGCTGGGCAACACGGACTTTCAACTCCCTCCAAAGATTTTCTATGGGGTTGAGATCTGGAGACTGGCTAGGCCACTCCAGGACCTTGAAATGATTCTTACGAAGCCACTCCTTCGTTGCCCGGGCGGTGTGTTTGGGATCATTG